TTGAACAAAATTTCAATCACTTTTAGTTTTCAGTTATTGCTCTTTTTGCAAATTTGAGAATCAATTGTTGATTTGTGATTTATTCAAAATAAAGCTTTAATTAGTCCGATGCTTGTAACACTTCAATGTTTTTTTCATTCTAGAGTAAAAATTACTCAGAGAAATAATTTATGCCAGCTATAGGGAACAAACCACCTGGATTTTCTTTCTTTTTAATTTCTTTAAATAGTCTAGCTTTACAGACACATCCAAGTCAAATCCACCTGAAGATGACCGATCATTCGTGGTCACTTTAAACTAACATTCTATTTGAAGTGTTTATTTAAAGTGATGATGTGTGTTTTCCTTGGCGACAGGGGGCAGTACATACCGAAATCATTGCAAGCAAGCAATACTTTTGTGTTCGAGTAAGGCCTTACAAACGGATGGCTATTAGGGTAAAAAATCCCTGGGAGCACAACCTCCAGCAAAATGACAAGCACATCAGACCTCCTTTCATCACTGACAATGAGCAAAGAGACAAAAGTGTAAAACAAAGTTTGTGAATGGTGAAAGTTTTGTAACCATTTGTTACAAATCAGTGAATGCGTTTTCCTGAGCCTCCCTGGTAAAGTCTATTCAGGGGTTCTGGAGAGGAGGGTCCATCGGATTGTTGAACCTTAGATTCAAAAGGAACAATGTGGTTTTTGTCCTGCCGTGGAACACTGGAACAGCTCTATACCCTTAGGGGGATCCTGGAGTGTGTGTGGGAGCAGCCAGTCTACATGGGTTTGGTGGATTTGGAGAAGGCATTCGATTGCATCCCTCCAGTAGAAGAAAACATGGCATCTGGTGTCACCCAGAGACTTGGACCCGCTCCCATGTATTTTAGACCCAATTTTTATGGTTATGTGTTAATAAAGGAGCAAATATGTCATGGTCTCTAGGAGACTCTGGAGCGAACACACCCGGACACAAGAGAAAGGTTAACAGTTTTATTAAAAGTTCAGCAGGCTCTCGGTGTGGTGGAGGAACTCTGGACGGGTTCATAGAGGCGGCTCTGAAGGGGAAGCAGAAGGTGAGTTGAGGAGCAAGGAGGCTGTGTTCTGATAATAGAATGAAGGGGGAGAGCTTACTGGTCCGCGTGGCGAGGAGCGTTTAGAGGAGAGGTGAGGTCCAGGAGCGTTCCTCAGGACCATATCCCAGCCAGTTGACCAAGTTTTGGCGACCACGTCCCCGAGGGCGGACGTCCAGGATCCGGGACACAGAGAAGACGGGATGGCCATCAATGACTCGGGCGGGCGGAGGGGAATCGGCAGGAGGGAACAGGGGGCTTGAGGATACAGGTCTGATCAGGGAAACATGAAAAACTGGGTGAACACGAAGGTGGCTAGGGAGTCTCAGGCGGACAGCTGAAGGACTGATGATGGCAACAATAGGGAAAGGGCCTAGAAACCAGGGAGACAATTTCCTGGGAGCGCCTTTGAGCGGGAAATGCTGGGATGACAGCCAGACCTCTTGACCAACGGAGTATGTGAGGGCTGAAAGGTGACGCCGGTCAGCATACCTCTTGTTTTTGGCTGAGGTTCGCTGCAGGGCGGACCGAGTATGGTTCCAAACTCGTTTGCAGGCCATCATGTGAGAACGGACTGAGGGAGTGATGGATTTGGGGAAGGTGCCAGGAAGGAGAGGTGGTTGATACCTGAGTGAGGCTTCAAATGGAGACAGACGTGAGGCGGCAGAGATGTGAGTATTGTGAGAGTACTCAATCCAAGGAAGGTGGAGGCTCCAGGATGTAGGATTATCGGCACAGAGGCAACGGAGGGTGTCCTCAACTTCCTGGTTGAGCCTCTCACATTGGCCGTTGGTCTGGGGATGAAAGCCAGAAGACAAACAGGGTTCAGCCCCAATGGAGCGACAGAAGTCCTTCCACACTTTGACAATGAACTGGGGTCCGCGGTCTGAAAGGATCTCAGATGGGATGTCATGTAGTCTGACCACGTGGAGAAATAAAAGTTGGGCGGTAGTAGCAGCTGAGGACAGTTTGGATAGTGGGACCAGGTGACATGCTTTAGAAAAACGATCCACTATAGTGATGACGACTGACTTGCCTTTGGAGATGGGGAGACCTGTTACAAAATCCAATGCGATGTGGGACCATGGTCGGGCTGGAACTGGAAGGGGCTGCAGGAGCCCAGCAGGTGGACGGTGAGAGTTCTTGTTGAGAATGCAAGTAGTGCAGGCAGTAACATAGCTTATGACATTTTTATTCAGGCCGGGCCATCAGAAGTAACGGCAAACAAAGGCGATGGTATGACTAACCCCTGGGTGGCAAGAGAACCTGGAGCTGTGGGACCACCGGATAACCTGGGACCGGACACTTGTGGGGACGTAGAGTCAGTTAGGGGGACCCCCACCCGGATCTGGTTCAGTCTCCTGAGCCTTGTGGATCTGCCTCTCAATGTCTCAGGTGAGGCTGCCCCCCAAACATGTGGCCGGCAAGATGGGTTCTGGGTTTTCAGAGGGATCGTCGGGTGAAAACTGGCGTGAAAGAGCGTCTGGCTTGACATTTCGGATGCCTGGTCTGTAAGTGATAACAAAATTAAAACGGGAAAAGAACAGTGACCAACGAAACTGTCGGGGATTTAGACGCTTGGCCGATTGTAGATATGACAAATTTTTATGGTCAGTCCAAACGATAACTGGTAACTCGGTACCTTCGAGCCAATGTCTCCACTCCTCAAAGGAAAGCTTAATGGCCAGAAGCTCTCGATCCCCTATGTCATACCGGCCTTCAGTGGGGGTGAAACGCTTGGAGTAGAAGGCACAGTGGTAGAGCTTCTGATCAGCAGATGATCGTTGAGATAGGACTGCCCCCACGCCAGTGTTGGAGGCATCCACCTCCAGAATGAACTGGGCCTTGCTGTCGGGGGTAACCAGAATGGGAGCCTCAACAAATTTCTGCTTAAGGGACAGAAAAAAACTGGTCTGCATCTTTGGTCCAACGGAAAGTCTGCTTAGTGGAGATGAGAGCGGTTAACGGGGCAGCCAGAATACTGAAATTGCGAATGAACTGCCTATAAAAATTAGCAAAGCCCACAAATCGCTGCAGTTGTTTTCTCGACTCTGGAATGGGCCAATCCTTGACTGCCTTGATCTTTTCAAGATCCGTCTTCACCTGCCCACCCCCGAGGACATAACCAAGGAAAGTTATGGAACGTGTGTGAAACTCACATTTCTCAGCTTTAACGAAGAGGTTGTTTTCCAGGAGGCGTTGTAGGACTCGGCGGACGTGGACCTGGTGGTCCGAGAATGAGTTGGAGAAGATTAAAATGCATTTAAAGGAAGGGAGTACCTGTTCTTTATGGTGATGTTATTCAGGGCACGATAGTCAATCAGGGCCTCAGGGTTCCATCTTTTTTCCCCACAAAGAAGAAGCCTGCTCCCATGGGGGAAGTGGAGTGTCGGATGATGCCTGCCTTTAATGAATCGTTAATGTATGTCTCCATAGTCTCACGTTCTTGTCTTGAGAGGCTAAAAATACGACCGGAGGGAAGAGGGACCCCTGTGAGAAGGTCTATGGAACAGTCATAGAGTCGATGAGGCGGAAGGGAGAGGGCACGCTCCTTACTAAAAACCCTGTGAAGATCATGGTGTTCTGTGGGGACGTTAGTGAGATCAGTGGGCTCAGAAGGTTCTGGGACGGAGGAACCCTGACTGGGAACGGCAGAATGGAGGCATTCGTGAATGCAGGTAGGGCTCCAAGACTCCACGTGGGCCTGGGACCAATTGATGGAGGGGTTGTGCTGGGACAACCAGGGGTAACCTAAAACTACAGGTGAATCATTGACAGGAAAAACTAAAAATGTAATTTTTTCACAGTGGTTACCAGAAACTACTAGGTTAACTGTTTCAGTCTGATGGGTGATGGTAGTAAGAGAACAACCATCTAATGCAGAAATCTGCACCGGATGATCAAGCTCTAGGATGGGAATGCAATGTTGTTGAACAAAACTCGCACTAATTAAATTTTGCTCTGAACCAGAATCTATGAGGGCGCTAGTTTGGACCTGAAGACTATTAATTTGGATGGTGGCGGAAAGCGTGAGGCGATGATTTCTTTTGTTTAGGTCACCCGTCAGTACCCCACTTTTACTGATGAGTGAACTCTTTTGGGCAGAGCTGGCAGGCTACAATGAAATGATCGAGGGAACCGCAGTATAGGCAGCGACGGGCTTCCATGCGGCGCTGCCTCTCCACCGGAGAAAGCCGAGCACGGCCAATCTGCATGGGCTCAGGGGAAGGCAAATTTGTGTGTGTGTGTGTGTGTGTGTGTGTGTGTGTGTGTGTGTGTGTGTGTGTGTGTGTGTGTGTGTGTGTGTGTGTGTGTGTGTGTGTGTGTGTGTGTGTGTGTGTGTGTGTGTGTGTGTGTGTTTATTTTCTCACAGAAGAAGAACCCAACACCAGCAGACTTAGTGCTCCAATCCAACAGCCTGAAGAGACATCATCAGCTTCAACAGATGTGTGTGAACACATATGAGCTGCTGGCCCCATGGATCCTGCTGACTAGTTGAACAAAGTGGAAAGTAGAACTTTCTTTATGATGACACTGATATTTGAGTTTTGCTTTTGATTGCACATTTTAATGTTGCTTTTGATTTTGCATCCCCCCAATGACATTTGCATGACATTTTGAGTTGTTGGTTATTGTAATATTCTCAGGTTACTTATCTTTCAAGCTTACATTTATTCTTCAGGCTGTTGACTTTAAAGAGTTGCTGTGTGAATATTTAAAATAAAAAATTAGTAACTAAGGAATAACTGTGGAGTTGCTTTTTCCAATGGGTGGGTGGGTGGACTTGGGTTTGGGTGGGGGGACTTGGGTTTGGGTGGGGGGCAGGGGGCGCACATGGGCAGTCTCGCCATGGGCACCAAATTACCTAGAGCCGGCCGTGAGGATGATGTCATCCACAGCAGAGACAATAGAGCCCTCTCCTCCTCCCTCGCCTCCCCATTCTCACACACACGCAGCGCAGTTCGCGGTATGACACGCGCTCGGACGTCACGACAGCTGAGTGAGCCACACACTCCTCTCCCGATGACATTCGCCTCTGTCTGCTCCTCAGTCCCGAGTCCCGCTGAGCGGTGCCGCGTCCAGTGCGCGCGGGCTTCCTTCCATTGAGCTCGCGTTTCTCTTGAAGGCTACATGCAGGGACCAAGGTTCTCCACGTCTGGATCCTTCTACCCATCGGTTCGGGTCACAACAGACAGGAGGATGTGTCATTCCGCTGTGCACACATGATGAACACACCACCGCCGCTCCAGATGTAAGTCATGTTTCCTCTCAGTTCCGTGGCTTTGGCTGACATATTGGTCCCCCTCAGTCAGCAGGATAATGCAGCTTCTATAGTGTTAATCAGGAAAAAATACCCCCCCCCCCCCCCACCCACCCACACACACACACACATTCCGCATTCACGGATGCTAGGCTTTTATTTTGGTATTCAGAGAGGTTGTTATTATTTGCCGTTACCATTTCTAGAGATAAGACCCTGCTGTCACGTGATGGTGCAGAATAATAAATCATTACCAGGAAATATTCAGATCCGATCAGAGAACAGGCCTCCCATCAGCTTTATTCTCATGTTCAAGGTTCAGACTGCGAAGATGCTATTAAATTCACAAATACGGAAAAATAAGCAGTGCGCCACCTAGTGACTCTGCATTATGCAGGGTTGGATAGATTTTCCATCACTGACCTACAGAAAAGCCCCATAAACAACACCATGCAGGTAGAATGGAACAATGTGGGGCTGGTGACTGGAGAGGAGCATCATGGGACGCTGTTGTTTATTTGAGCAAAGGTAAACAGAACTTATTGGCTATTTTACCCCTAAATGAGCAAAGAGACTTCTGTGAAACAAGCAGCATGCTGCTGTGAAACAAACGGGGGAATCACTGCAGTAAGGCCAGGTGTGTGTGTGTGTGTGTGTGTGTGTGTGTGTGTGTGTGTGTGTGTGTGTGTGTGTGTGTGTGTGTGTGTGTGTGTGTGTGTGTGTGTGTGTGTTGGGGGGGGGTTAAAGCGTTTCACATGCAATTTTCATCCAGGCAGCATTTTAGGTATATTGGGCTTTAATGTGACAGGATCACTTCCATTGATTATCCCAGGGAGAGTCATCATTCAGCAGCATGCTGTGGAGCTGCGTTACACACCACAGGGTTGACTCAGTGCTTACGTAAAAGCAAAGGAACGTTTCCGTTGACGATGCAACGTGAACAAAGCTGACTCTTTTGCATCTGCTACAAAGAAGGAAGATAGAATAAAATACATTGCCCAGATCTCTAAGAAAGGGTTTAGTGAAATTTTAAGTTATGTTCTAACACAAGTTGTCCAGATGTGGTGAGATGATTGATGCAGCTAAATAATCAAGGCTTCTATCCCGTACTCGTGCTCTAGGGTTCCATGTCACACTGTTCAGAAATCAATACTTATTTTATTCTATCTATACTGCTCTGTAGACGTATGTCCTCCAGTATTTGGAATTGATAGTGTGAATCAGACATTCAGGAGCTTTCAGACGTTTTCTCAAACTACAACTTCTAAATTTGTCAATATTTGAATCTGATTTAAATTCAATTGCTTTTGAGTGGGCGGATCTAGAAAGTTTTACAGGAGGATCCAAATGCTGTAAGAAGGGTCGCTCTACATCAGTGAAAATCCTTTTTATGTAAATGGTGTCAACAAAAATTGATATGCCTCCTAGAAAACAGTTAGAATTAGGTATGGACGAGATAAACACATTTTCTACCAAATAAAAAGACAGATAAATAAATACAAGAGGCAAATAACAAAAACATTTATTAGGCATATGAAGTAAACTTTTCATATTTTTAAATTATTTTCCGGAGCCAAATATGCTAAAATGACCCTTTACAGGGTGAATGAAAAGTCGCTCAGCTCTCAGAACTACACATGCAGTAGAAACTATGAATTATTGATTCTATTTGACTTGTAGCTCTTATTTAAATAGCATTTAAGTGTTTGTGCAGAGCCTCGTGATGTCACAGTGAACCATTTCATCAGGGGCTAAAGGTTTTGACTTTCCTTGACTAAAGGTTTAATGTCATCCTTGAGTCAAAGTGAAAGTTTTCATCTAAAATTTAATTCCAAGAATGCATTGGAGAGAAAATATGTTGAGGAGAAGAAGTGCCATGAGCACGATGAGCTGAAAACTCTGTGTTTTTAATCTTAGCTGCCGCTGAAGCATAACCAGTCACTGCAGCCCCACTGCTGCAGGAGGGTGTGAATGACAAACAGGCAGGTAGGTTGAATCACTGCCTGCAGGAAATGGATTAAAATCAGATTATTTGAATTGAATTATTTCTGAAGAGAAACTTTTAGCTGTGTTGTACTTGTAAAGATACAAGCTCCTGAAATCAGCAAAAAGTTCATTTTTGTGTCTTCGTGTCACAGAAATACTTTTGATAACGAAACTAATTTTAAACTAAAATCCCTGCTTAAGGTGGGAAATAATCTCCCAGGATTCACAGCGATAAAATCAACCACTAATTTGACATTGTAATTATCTGTCTGAAGCTCGGCGTTAATAATGTTAAAGTCATTAAATAGTTGTAAGTGTTGACACTGCAGGCGAGAACTGCAGGATGCTCTGTATTTGTTTTCTTTAGCTCTCAGGATAAGAATCAAGGTGACCTAGCTCAAAGAGAGCGTTGCTATCATACAACTAGCAGATGTTAGTGTTGACTTATTTTGTAGTTCCTTGTCGAATGGGAATGTCTCTATTTACCAAGGCAACAGACATGTTTGTTCTGAAGGTTCCTAAAGTCTGGAGCTAAATTTAAAAGTTCACCTTAAAGCTGCTTCAGATTGATGCAGACAAACAGTGTCATGTTCTTTGTCCCTTTGTTCCCCGGCCCCTCCAGTTCCCACTCCAGGTTCTCCTTTTGTGTTTCATAGCGCCCTCATGTGTCCTTTGTCTGCGTCTCATTTATGTGTCTCTTTGTGTTCCTCATGTGTCCCCTGGTCTTCAGCCTTCCAAATATATCTCTCAGGTCCTGTGTTCCTTTAGTCTTCTCCAGTCACCCCTCTGCAGCCAGTCATCCCTCTGCAGTGTTTATAGTTTCAGCTTTTCATTTTATTAGTCTCTTTCATATGTTTTGAAACATGCCTCCCATGATGCCCCAGTTTATTTAAGCCCTGTCTTGTCTCAGTGTCTTGTCGGTCCATTGTCGTTGTCGGTGTTGTTTTGTCCGTCTCGAGTGTTCGCCCGATCTTGCTCATGAAAGAGCTTCTGTTTTGCCTTTTGCCAGCGTTTGCCTTTGGATTTATGCCCAGCCTCCTAAAATAAAAGGATTTTTACTTCATATTCACTTCTGCCTCGTGTCATCCTGGGTTACTGCTTTTTGGGTCCAAACCATCCTCTCAACGTGACAAACAGAGGCAGAGGTTTTTATTCTGCAATGTACCACCATTTCTGGCTGACATTTGTTTGGGTCATGATTATTTAAAGGTGCAGTATGTAAGAATATAGTGAGAATTTTACAGTGAGTAATGTTTCAATAATTTCTGAAGGAAGGTTATACTGAAACATATTTCATGTACAGCTGGCTGCAGGGATTGTCAGTTTTTCTCCTTTCAAAACAAAAGAAGAAGGGACGTAAAGTAATGACTGTTTGCCGTCAGTGAGTGTGGGGATGCCGTGTCTCCTGTGAACTAATCCTGCAGCACCAACAATTGTAATTTCACAACGGCTGGCAGAAAGCTCCAGAGTTGTTTAAAGTGGTTGCAGTAACCAGATTTTTACCGCAGGATGTCATTTTTACCTCATTTCTACATAATGCACCTTTAAAGGTTCCAGATCATGGTATTTTAAACCTTTAAGAGCAAAGGTGGGCACAATATATGATAAAATATTAGCAATGACACTATTGAGATGTCATTTATACATGTTATTTTTGTCACCCTGAATTTTGTCGTCGTCGTCTTCCTCCGCTTATCCGGGTCCGGGTCGCGGGGGCAGCATCCCAACTAGGGAGCTCCAGACCGTCCTCTCCCCAGCCTTCTCCACCAGCTCCTCCAGCAGGACCCCAAGGTGTTCCCGGACCAGATTGGAGATGTAACCTCTCCAACGTGTCCTGGGTCAACCCGGGGGCCACCTGCCGGCAGGACATGCCCGAAACACCTCCCCAGGGAGGTGTCCAGGAGGCATCCTGACCAGATGCCCAAACCACCCAACCAGCCTGAATTTATTCCAGAAATAAAATGGTTTGTTTCAGTGAAGTGCCACCTCCAACAAAACACACTTACAATGGCGTCTTAGGCCATCCTGTTGTGTTGGCCTTGGTAGTCTAGTGGTTAAAGTGGCTGCCTTGGCACTCTAACCACTGGACTACCAAGTCTGCTACAAAGCAAAAGTCACCTTAGACACATATCACATATCCTATACTGGCCAGGGAAGGCAGGCTTCAGATCAGAGAGCATCTTCCAGGAGAGAAGCAGGACCTGATGACGCCATTTGTTTCTGCTGATGCTTTACAGGATTTTCAAAGTAAAACTTAAAATTTGCAGCTGAAAACAGGAAAATGCATGAATGCAAGTAACGGGTTTGGGTTTTTTATTTCATGAGGAGCTAGCAATATTGCATGGTAAAAAGTGGATTTTCCATGATATGGCCCCTTTATCATCTACTCAACCTTTTATCTTTACCTGTCAGTAGACTCACATCCCAGACTATCACAAATTCTCTTTTCATACTGCCTTTCTCAGCTTCTATTCTGAGTTTTCTATTTTTAGATATATTTTTTTTGTCTTCTAACTTTCTGTTGAAACTTCAGAGAGATCCCAATCCTGATTTGTCCTTTTAGCATAAGCTGCTACGTTATTCTGGCTGGGCTAATACCCGAGGCATTAACCCTCTGGAGGCGGGCGTTGCAAATTTGCAACAGTTATACCTACCTGGTTACTCCACATATGTATTTCATGAGCATTTTTTAAATCAGAAGTACCCCTGAAGGACTTAGAGTAGTTGTTTGTCCTTTTATCAAAACTTATTTTGAGCCTGAGAGGGTTAAAACAAGTCAGCAGAGCGGTACCAGTCCTATCTGATGTTCTGATTCCATGCTTCCTGTTTGGTCAAACCAGAGGAGAGGAGAAAAAATGGCTAAATGTTTGCTTCCATGCAGCTCCCTGATTGGTCTGTTTGCTCCAAAGCTCTCATCACTCCCTGACTGCTGACTGCTGAAATTAAGTGATGTAATTATTTTGACTTCCTCTTACTTGCCTGTCATGGTGTGAGCCTTGATGAGA